ATTATTTGAAAGTAAAGAAAATAAGACAGGGAAATGGAGGACAGTAGCAAAGTAAATGGGGGAATCATGGAAGACTTCTCAGAGGAAATAATATTTAAACTTATCCATGAATAATAAGTTAATCATGAAAATATTTTGGGAAAGAATACTCTATGCCAAGGGAAAACAATAAATGCAAAAACCCTGAAGTGGAAATGAGGTTGGTGGATTTGAGTGACAAATAGCAGTGTGGTTGGGAATTGTTAGCAAAAAGAAGGAAATCGTTAGCAAAAGATGAGGTAGGAAAGCTAGACAGGAGCTATGGCAAAGATCATGATAATTTGTGCCTCGGAAGCCACGTGTTCAGAAAGCCAGAGGTCAAGCATGAGAATAAATTATGCTGGAGAGATGAAAAGTGGTAGGGACCGTGACAGACCAGGGAGCCTGCTGTTACTTAAAGTGGACAGTTGGTAGCATTATCTACTCAGCCCCACTTAAGAATGTGATCTCAGTTTCCCAATCTCCAAATTTCAAAAAAAAAGTGGGAATCTGGACTGTTAAATGAAATCTCCAATGTCTAAATGATGTCATTAAATTCCAATCTTGTTTATTAAACACTATGCTAGTTGAATGACATAGCTGAAGGCCAGACTTAGCCTTCAGGTATCCAGTTTGAAACTCCCAATTCTCAACACTGTTCTGCTGGAGTTAGATGAGAAGAGGTGACAGAGAGTGGAAAGCAGCTAGCAGGATGATATGGGGCCATGGGAAGTGTTTATATTCTAAGGAGTAGCCAGAAGTGAGGAGGACAGGAAGGAACAAGATAGAAGGGTATGGAAGGTTTATTGAGACCTCCAGAGAAGCAGGAAGGAGTAAGAACTCAGGATTGGGTGGAAGGGTTGCACTTGCATAGGAAGGACTCCCCCATCCTCTAGAACAGGAGTTGACAAACTATCATACACAGACCAAATTGGCTCATAGCTCAAGTCCTAGAGCTAAGAATGGTCTTTACATTTTTAAATGGTAGAAAAATAATCAAAGAGAAGAATAATTTCTGAAATGTAAAAATTACACAAAATTCAAATTTCAGTATCCTATCTAATAATAGACAAACATGGTAATTGACCATACCTTTGCTATGCCTCCCATTGGCTAATCAGCACGATATGCAAATTAACCGCCAACAAAGATGGCGGCTAATTTGCATACTGCAGGCAGGGTGGGACAGCTCAGCTGCCAGTGCGAGCTGCCATCCTGGGCTGCAGGCTGGCCCCAGAAGCCCCAGAAGCCACTCAGAAGCCGGGGAGATGGGGGTCCCCTGCCCAGGCCTGACACCTCTGACGGAGGCGTCAGGCCTGGGCAAGGGGCCGATCCGGTGATCAGAGGGTGATGGACGTCGATGCCTCTAGCCAAGGTGTCAGGCCTGGGCGGGGGGTGGAGCCGGCAATCAGAAGGGTCTGGGGGTCCCCTGCCCAGGCCTGACGCCTTGGCGAGAGGTGTCAGGCCTGGGCGGGGAAGCCAAGCTGGCGATCAGAGGGAGATGGGGGTCTCCTGCCCAGGCCTGATGCCTGGGCCAGAGGCATCAGGCCTGGGCGGGGGGCAGAACAAGTGATCGGGGGAAATGAGGGTCCCCTGCCCAGGCCTGACACCTCTGGCAGAGGCATCAGGCCTAGGCAAGGGTCCGATCCTGCAATTGGAGGGTGATGGGGGTCAACGCCTGAGGGCTCCCAGTATGTGAGAGGGGGCAGGCTGGGCTGAGGGACAGTCCCCTCCCCACCCAGTGCACGAATTTCGTGCACCGGGCCCCTAGTCCTATCTAATAAAAGAGAAACATGGTAATTAGCCGTATGGCCGCTACCCTTCCCATTGGCTAATCAGTGAGATATGCAAATTAACTGCCAACCAAGATGGC